GAGGTTTCCACTAGGAGATAAAATGCCAACAGAAGATGTAAGAAAACACAGAAAGAACGGCGGATAAAATACGAGAATACCAAATGAAATGGAATAATCACGTAGAGAGGACGCCTCCTGAAAGCCTGCCGTGGTAAACATACTTCTCAATCTACTGGAAGATGGGACATTGGTCGTCCAAGAACGAGATGCAGACAACAGTTCCTTTAGTCTCGGAAAGGATCAACGGTCTCAATCCTTGAATGGAAAGAAAAAGACATTACCTACACAGAACATGACCCAGATCTATTTATTTTTATTTTTTTTATTTAGTGTTCTGTGTGACGACAGGTCCATATGAACAGGATCCTTCCATCCTTTTCTCGGACTGGGACCTGTTCATATACGTTCTTGGCAGATGATCCAGAAGTGATTTGCCATTCCCTTCTTCTGTGTGTGAATGGAGTAAGTGTTGGGATGCCACGGAGGAAAACTCCGGGCTGCCTAGACCACGGCCTTGCCCACCACAAGTTATAAATTCGGGCACCGCCGAGAATCGAACCCGAGACCCCAGGATTACAAGGCCAGCGTTCTAACCGCTAGACCACCTCATCTTATTATTATTTAGTGTTCTGCCTGACGACAGGTCCATATGAACAGGAGCCTTCCATCCTTTTCTCGGACTGGGACCTGTTCATACACGTTCTTGGCAGATGATCCAGAAGTGGTTTGCCATTCCCTTCTTCTGTGTGTGAATGGAGTAATTGTTGGGACGCCACGGAGGAAAACTCCGTGTTGCCTAGGCCACGGCCTTGCCCAACACAAGTTACAAATTCGGGCACCGCCGGGAATCGAACCCGAGACCCCAGGATTACAAGGCCAGCGTTCTAACCGCTAGACCACTGTGGCGGAGCATGATTAATATAAGATCTATAGGAAGAGAAATTTGTTCACTAGGAAAATAGACTGATTTCAGATCGGAACTGATTTATACTCGGTGAACGTGATTTAAGCCGCTTTTGATGTTCCACAATCACCGCCTCTCACTGTAATTGTCGTGGAGTGCGAAAAAGTCAGAAGTCGATGGATCCCGGCACGACTACGTCGGTAGCCTTGTTAAAACGAGCGACGCTCGCGAGTAGCAGTGACTGCGTTCCCACGGCGTCTGTTTGGTTGCAGCCTCGAAAAAAAATCAGTGCTTATTGGTTAATAATGACTTCAGCCACTCATCCAACTCAGAGGCAAAAATAGTAAAAAATAGACTAAATCGAATCGGAACCAATCGAGATTTAAAGCCAAGGCCACTTAAAAAGCCTGCCTAATGAGGCATGCAGTTTGGGCGACACAAGAAGCCTTTTTTACCCAGCCTCAGAGAGAGAGAGAGAGAGAGAGAGAGAGAGAGAGAGGGTTCGAAGAGAGCAGAGTTCGTGTGAAAAACCTTCTATTGAATTCGGTACCAGCTGTGACGTGGGACCGACAGGGAAGTTTCAAAAGTCTGTGAACGACTCATTACTGCTTTGCTGAATTCAAAGGATAAGCAAATTGCAGTTATACCTTATACATTCCTCTCTTCCAAACAGCGAACCGTGCTTATAACATTACACCGTTCCAAACCCACATGAACCAGCAGCATGCCTTAAACATTTCGAGAATATTATTTATATTTTAATATTATCATCCCTTTTATACATATTTTTTCCAAGTGAACTTTCTCTGGAGGAATTCAGGCGTACTGCACGCTTAACCTAATCTTCCCCCTTGAATTTAACAATATCATATGGGGAGTTACAATTATAAAAAATTTCATTAGGCAGTTCTATCTTTCGTCCTGTTAGCCCCTTAGTCTCTTAGGTCCAGATATTCCGTTCATCATGTTATCCGCCTACCTTAACATAACCTACTTTCTTTACTTAAGCCGAAACACGTAGTTCAAGATAGAAACAGAATTAATAAAATTCTAAGTAATTGCGACATCGGAACTCTCTTGTCTCACAGCCGACCACAATAAATTATCCGACGTCTGTCGCACATGCAGAAGAATTCAACTGTAAAATGTAACAGGATAGTCCTAGGAGCAGAAGGGAGGATAATATTAAAGCAGATGTTAATGGAACACGGTTTTCAGGGCAGGGATCAGTTTCGTGCCTCTGTAAACACAGAAAGTATCTCGTGAGTGCTATAAGAGGTGGCCAGTTTCTTGACTACCTGAACGACCATCAGCTTACCAAGAATACCTTTTCTCCGTAGAGCTAATTAATCTTTTTCTTTGCTGGAAATTCATCATAGCTTTCAAATCGTAAGTTAACTTTGCAAATTACGTTTGGATTTAGACTGCAAACATTTTGAGGTAGATTTACGTTTTATGATAATGAAATCATGTGAATTTTTAGATAATAATTCACGACACACGGGAATCCCAGTGAAGCTGTTTCCACATCGACCACTCTACCAAACACATAAGAAATCACAGCTGGAGTCTAAGTTTATTGATTCTCAGAGTTTCAGCGTAATTACGTCTGTAAGCATAAAATAAACAATCTTGATATTCATTTGACATTCAGAGTAGTTCAGAAATGGTTCTGAACATGGACGCCATGTGGCAGAACTTATGATCGGTAGTTTCTTTCAAAGGCAAGATTACTTAAAACTAATTTATTCTCAGACCAAAAACAGAACGCTTCTATGAACTGCCAACAACAAGGGTCAATATGCTACGTCCTTGCATTACGCATTCCACCTCCACGAGCCTTAAAGGTTTTGTGACTTGCAGACACGAGCCGTCAAGCGAGAAGGACACGGGTTCAAGCACCGAGGACAGCCAAATCTGTCATAACTTCTTATTAGCATCGACAGCGACCGTGAAATAGCTCCGCCCTGCTCAGCTGACTGACTAATAACGTCAATAACATAATAACAAGTAGCTCTATGAGCAATTAACCCAACAGATAGTAATTTTTGCACTAAATACGGAATTAAGTAAAGTTCAGAGTACCCAGCTAAGTAGGCCTACTCAATTTAATAACAATGTACTTAATTCTGTAATTATCTTGGTCCTTAATAGCTGTGTAGATCACAGCCTTTCTTGAGAAGCCGACAATCGTTAAGCCGGTTAACAAAATTCCCTGTCTTTATAGAATCTTGAAAGTACATCGCTGTGTTGAGATAAGTTTGGTAGTACCCCCTTCCCCACCATCTAATAATCCCGAGCGTTATCTTCTGATTAAGTTGTGCCTGTCTTTACACGTGGTCCACGTACCAACTTGCCTAGTGGCCTATCACGATGTCGAAGGCGATGGTCTTCATCGCTTGGCCACTGGGATCGCGGACTAGGAACCCGTTCCGAGCCGGAAGCGTGAATTAACCTAATAATCACACGATTTAGTGCTCGGTTTGTGTGCATTACTGAATGCTTACATTCAGCTTGGTACGTAAAACCACGAAGTTTCAGGCTGCCGTCATGACAATAACATTTATTACAATAAATAATTTGTGTTATGTTCGTAACGTCTGTTTTAAAAATATCACACCAACAAAAAATATTAATTATTCATCACAATTAGACGTAACGCTAAATATAACTTTCGCGAGGTTCTCTCGAAGATTAGTTACCACTAGACGATATTTCAATGCCTGCGTTAGGCACAAAGTGTGGAGGGTGAACAGCATATACCGGCACCGTGCTCTTACAAAGACTCTTCCGTCATCGAGATTAAAAGTTGTCGGAGTAGACACTCATGGCCACGGGGAGACGATAGTGTCGAAAAGATGTTCTTACGGTATAAGGCAGACAGGTTTAAAACTTCGAAAAGACAGCTAAAAATTACAATGTACGCTGTGACGTGATCTAGCTCAAACTAGGCATTAAACTCTAAGATCAGAGGCCTGCAAACTACTTGAATCTCATTACACGTCTTGTCAGACGTGAGCCAAAGACAGCTTCCTGCAACATCTCGTGTCTAACGCCACCAATTAAACGGAATTACTACAGAAATGAAACGCCATGTTTTTGTGATTACGTACATTGCACAAAACGAATGTAGGACTAATCGTCTTTTTACGTTAAGCTTCAACTCGAAATCCGTTAGACGGAATCTGATTAAGTTTGGTACTAACGTTATTCCACTGCGAGATGCAATTAATTCTAAGACAAAATACATAACGCAAAACAACACGAAGGTTGCTTATTAGCAAATTCTATACTTTTTTAGAAGTGACTATGAAACTTGTAACCAGTGAAGTATTTGATATTTATTTATTTTTTATTTGTAGTGTTCTGTCTGACGACAGGTCCATATGAACAGGATCCTTCCATCCTTTTCTCGGACTGGGACCTTTTCATATACGTTCTTGGCAGATGATCCAGAAGTGGTTTGCCATTGCCTTCTTCTGTGTGTGAATGGAGTAATTGTTGGGATGCCACGGAGGAAAACTCCGTGTTGCCTAGACCACGGCCTTGCCCAACACAAGTTATAAATTCGGGCATATAGGTATTTAAAATGCCATATGAAGCGTTCTTACATATGAAACAGTTGCTGTCTGCAAGTCAACAACAGAATCTTTGAGGTTATGCCTAAGAACAGCTGAATAAACCGAACCAAATCAATAAAACAGATACACGTTCAAGGATAAACCTCATTCTGCTTTTCAACTTATTACAGCGTGTTTGGCAGACCGCTTATAAGAGAATTTTCCGCATTCGACAAATAACTGTTAACATTTGCCTTCACGCGTATAATCGAATCCGCGTTGGAGAATGGTTTACTGTAATGCTCGTCACTCGCTAGTGTGTGTGTCGGTCTGTACGCCATTCCCGGAGGAGCTGAGTTTTGGGTTCCTTTTTATCATTACAGCGTCATAATTTAATCCAACTTAGACAGACTGTAAAAAAAATGCGTTGCTTTGTCAGAGAAATAAACAGTTCACGACTTGTAAGACAAGACGAAGTTCCTAGTGAATCCCCAGGGTTAATTTTATAAACGAAAAATAATAGCATTAAAATGTCCATAAACCCTCAGACTTACATGAAAGTTGTTGACAAAGAACCTTTGGCAAGCGTCTTAGTAAAGTCCTCGGTCCAAGCCTCACTTCTTACTGTGTTTGTCAGCAGGTTGTTGAGGAAGGCAGTCTCTGGACTTGTGTTCGGAAGGTACGTGTTCGACTATCGATCGAGATGCCATCTCTCATCACTCAGTACTTGGCAGCTTTGCTAGCGACATCCGTTCCTACATCAAAACAGGCTATGACTGCTCCCTTCCGGATCCCTACCTTATCTCTATTTGCAACCAAATTCGAAGCTGGTTAATCCCTCAAATTAATTATCGTTAATAAGCCTAAGAATGAGCATTTATTATGCAGTCATACGAAAATTAAATTACAATTTCCACGTAATCTATTAAGTGCGCAATTTCTTTGTCATGTGGGTGATTAAAGTAAGTTAAGTTTGTCCCACTATACGCCATGTAGGCGTTTGGGGTGAGAGGAGGTATAGCTCTTCTCTTCCTTGACCTCGGCACTAGATGGGGGTGAGTGGTCAGCATCACGCCCCGGCCGGCTTTACCCCCGGGAAAGGATCCCGGTACCCATTGTAGAGGAGGCTGGGTGGGCCCCAGAGCCGGTCTGGACGCAGAGGCTAGAGGAAAAATCCTGCCCCCATCGGGGATCGAACCCCGGTCGTCCAGCCCGTAGCTAGTCACTATACTGACTGAGCTATCCCGGCTCTTCATGTGGGTGATTATCCGCACCGAAAAAAATTATTTCCGCGTTTATCCTCGGGTTATCACTTTTTCAGAATAATTCTGTATACAACGCAGTGGAAGTTAAAATATAATTCTATATCAAGGAAACGAATCGATAAGAAAACGTGCCGTAATTAAAGACTGCCAATTAATTACTGCTTTAAAAATGTAGCAAACTTCAAACATTTTGAAACCACAGTAATAAATCAAAATTATATTTATGGAGACGCTAAGAGCAATCTTATTCAGGTTATACTCGATGTAATTCGTTTTGGAACATGTCACCTTATCGTCCCCTGCTTTGAATACCCTGAAGTGCAAAAGCTGCATTTTATTAAGGTATTGAACAAAACCTGTACTTTGGGGATTTATGTTCGTTTCTCGTCGTACATAAAGAAAACAGAATAAATGTTAAATATTAAAATCTTCTGTTAAATATTTCAACTTTTACTCTCGTAGAATCTAACAGACATTTTGTAGGAGTTTATAGACCGGATTACCAGGTTCGTGATCATCAGATTCTAACAGACTACACGGCGCTGAAACCCAGAAGAGAGCCATCTTCATTTGAGAACATGAAATTTCACAGATTGAACGAATTTAGGGCATAATGAGGTGGACAATATTTGAGTTACGTGAGATATAAGAACGAGGGGCGTGGGAGATACGTAAAGTGAATAGCTCACACTGCTCTGTATTAAAATGTTTCTGTCCTCCAACCCTGACGCGGAAAAGTTTTAAAATCCATCAACAAAGATATGTGAAGAATCTGGGACTATTCTTGAGGTATGTGACTGTAGTTACACACATCTCGGACATCCTTCATGTAGTCTAGTACAGCGCTGTGCAAGGCAAGGAAACTGAAATACTCAGAGAAGTTACTCTGGAGGTCACAGGCAGTGGCCCGGAACACCCGAATACAACCCAGTCCCTTTAAATTATATAATTATTAGTAGCACAACGTAAGTACGTGATGTGACGTAATCCAGTAGAAAATTAGAGTTTATCTTCACGAAGTACGGAACCTAAGTGTGGCAGCTAAACTTCAGGACCGACGGCTACGTGTGCTCTAATGGCGCATGATCTACGCGAAAGTCTTTGTATCGCTTCGTACCTTTGTGCCTCCGGCAGCGAGCATATTTTTAGATTAGCCGATTGATTGGCGTGCAGGGAAAGGTGTTTACGCCTGCCAGTTCTATGTTTAGACGACCCACCACGCTCGGGTGCACTGTAAGCTTCCCAGCACTGCTAATCTCAATAATAAACTCTCCCTTGTGATTTATAACCCGCAGATTACTTATTATTACATAGTTTATTCATCGACCTTCCTCAACCCCTTCTATATAATGCACTGACAAGGATGTGGCAAGATGTACCAGCCTCTCGGGACCAATAAACCTCCTATCCGATGGGTAAAACGAGGCCGGACCTGAGGTTGACTACTCACACCCCATCTAGTGTTAAGGTAAAGAAAAAGAGTGGGAACAGTATCACCTCTCCCCATAAGCGCCTCCATGGCGTGTAAGTGCGATAGCTTTGCTTTACGAAGATGTATAACAATTCTTATGTTAACAAGAATCAATATGGCGTCGATCCGAACGAATTAAGTTATTGAATATTCATTGATTTGTAATGTCTGACAGCCACTGTACACATCGTAGGCATCTGCCCTGAACAAATCTTCAAATCTAACTGAGTTTTGGACAGACAAGTAAATAATTACGATATTCAAAGTTTAACGCAAAGTACTCTCGTTATGAATAAAGTATAGCAACAAATATTTCTGTATCTCGTCCTGTTCGCTAAAACACAGCGTTATAGATTTGTTTGTAGGCGTATGGGGGGGAGAAGAAGTACAACTCCATAACCTTGGTAATAGGTAAACTTGAGTGGTTGGCTGTAGGATATAGTCGAAACAAAGTCTATTGAAATCTGTGCGTAAATTGGCCATTTTGAATAGTAAAAGCTCTTGAGATGTGAGTTTATACGTACTAAGAGATGTCCACGTGATATTTATTTCCATCTGTTCATCATAAACATCACTTAGGCTGCATGACGTCACGAAATAGCAGAATTTCGATCTAACATTACGACAAGCAATGCCCTCGATTCAATTACGTTCGTTATTATTCCGGCTAAAATTTCGCCGTGGTACTCAGAATTAACGAAAAGTGAACTCAATTTGTGCGCTTCCGGTAGGCACAGTGGCGCGTCTTTCTAAAACTCGTATCCAGGCGACGCTCCTTTATACATCGCTCAGAGATCCCATTAATTTGTGAAACATCGAGCAGAGAAATGGGCTAAATGAAACGTTTGCAGAAGCCGGAATTTATCTTTCAGTGGATTTGTAACGTCGTTACATAAAAATATAACCACGCACTAACCATAGGTGTATAGGAAATTGGGAAAAACCTTCTATAGATCAACGGGACGAAACAAGTCACACATAAAGGACTTCTATTAACGAGAAACGAGGACAATAGACGTCGTTTTACAATAGCAAAGATTTGAACAAAAATCTATATAAAAAAAAAACAAATGAACGTATTCAAGATCGCATCATTTGAAAGTGTACGAACACTTCTGTGTTTCCGACACGTAGAATGTTATACTGATCAATATTCCACGTGGAAAAATAAATGAACACGCTAAAAACACAGGAATTATCGATTCAGCTGTGTTTGCGATAAACAAGGCATACCCGTACTTGTACAAAGACGGGGGTTCGGGTAGGAGGAATGGAAAATGATAAAAGTTGTACTGTTTGAACGGGCCTGTGTCTTGCACCAGGCCCATCATCAACGTCACAGCCTGTTCAAAAAAGTACGATCTATCCAACGACATACAAATTTTATTTGCAATCGTGAAGTGTGACGAGTAACAGCCGACTTCAAGGAGCAGCGTCCTTGAGAAGATGACTCGAAGAAACTGACTGTCTTTTATGGATCACGAAGATTCACTATTGTCCTCAAAAGATTTTGTAAATGAAAGCTCTCCTCAGACAGTTTAATCTTGTTCGCATTCATCTTATTATTTACTTAGTACACTCCTTCGTATGCGGAGATTCCAGGTTTAAACTTCTCAAAGCTGAAACGAACTATTTTGAGTCGTATTTCGGAGTTCTGCAGTCGTTTATTTATTAAACGATATTATCATTCGATGGTTCAAGGTCAATCGATGCTGAATACGTTACGTAGGCCTGAATTAACTCCGCTGATCAGAGCCTTTCTTAAGAAGCTGATTGTCTTTCAGCAGTTGAAGGCACGTATCGGAATAACATACTGTCACCATCTTCAGGGCTGAACACGAGATGCTGAAAAGTACAGCAGCATCCCAGGAAACAAAGTCAATATTAACCCTTTCGGAGTATCTACATCTTCCGGCCACAGGTCCGGAATGATCATTAAACATCACGTGTTAATTATTTAAGAATCTAAATGAGACGGTTCAGAAAAAACTGGTCTGTATGTGCTATTCAGTCCCGTTGAAGGTACAGGTATCTATTCGCACAAGTGACTCGAGTTGTCGGACTCACATAAAAATTTGTATTAGCTTACTCCAGTGAACACAGTTCATGAGACGCTAAAAGTAGCCAATCTATTCAATAAATTCGATGTCTTTTATGAAACCCGAAGTAGCTCAGGTTTTTGGATCCTATTATAAACCATATCAAATCAGTCCACTCCTCACAATTTTTAAGATCCATTGCAATATTATTCTGAAATCTACTCTTACGTCTACCAAGTTGCCTCTTTCCGTAGTTTTTTTATGATTTTAAACATGTCAAGTTTTCTTTTCTGATATTCGTGCTACATGTCTCGTTGAAGTCAGCCTCCATGAATTTAAATGCCTGATAATATTTAATGATAAGTACAAATTGTTAAGGTCCCCCACTATTCAATAAATATATTCATCACAATTAACATTAATAAAATTAAAAAGTCTGTGCGCTGAACGTTTCACTGCGTCGCCAATTGCAAGGAAAATTAAACGTATAGAATTCAATACTGAAAACAGAAATGTACACATAATTTTGGTAAGGAAACCAGAGTGGCAATGGAACTGGGTTTCCGGCTGGTCATCGCTGAGCTAGAATTTGGAAAGGAAGTTCGAATTGAGTGACGTCTGTGTTGGCTCGTCACGCGAGGAAACTGGCAATTGACCTCTTAAGAACAAGAGTTCTGCTTCAGTAGCAGATTGCTTTATTCGTTCTTCAGTTATATTGGGCTACGAAGGATCGATGGGTGGGGTCACGTCCGACATTTTAAACGGAGAGCAAGCCCAATAAATGTCAGTGGCAATGAAAGATATGAAACTGATTCTCGTGCTTCGATATCGACTGCAAACACTCACATCTGACACTGTCATCGTCGATCTGAAAGCCTTGGACGCAAAATGTAAATGCATTCGAGAATTCTTCATAGCTTCTACAATTCTCCTGAGATTCAATCCGTGATTTGGCGAAGAGTGTGCATGGTAAATAC